CCTCCAGTCGTGTGACGTCGGTCGATGATTGGGCTTACGTGCCTTATAACTGTCGCCTATCCTGTTTCTGCCACTACCTCTGACGATGGGCTCCTGTACGAGTCTGAAAGCTCAGGATAATAAACGAAGTGTTCCGGTGCTCAACTCTTCTTCTTCACAACTGTTTATTTTCAAACTAACGTTACAAATAATAAACCGGAACGTTTTTTTGAGAAAATGATAGCTAAATAAATATCCTTTAACAAAGGCGAAAAGACAAAAAGCGCCACTTCTAGTCGATGTAGCGCCTTCAGTCAATCATTCTACAATACCGTGTTGGAGGAGTTGTGATCTGAATTGTTTTGACGCCTGACTAAAGTATTTTCTAGGACTATCGGCGAAGACAAGCCCTAAGTTCTAGCAGCAGATAGTCCTACTTGGTCAATCAGACAACATCCCATTTTACAAGCCACCTTCATCATTATCCTTGTTTCCACAGAGTGGAATACATTGTCTTTCCCTAGTTTGTGAACCAGGACCTAGGACGACAGTTTCTCCTCTGAAAACCGCTATTTCCGCATACGTGTTTGTGAGCCTGTTGAGAACGTAGCACTGGCGACTCGCAGTCTACGCACTTCGAGTCTTAACCATCAGCTTTTTACGCCAGTTTGACTAAGAACGACTGTAAAAGGGCCAGAAGTGAATATAATTAATATTAAAAATCTTATTATCTGCTCTTTGAGCGAACGTGCACTCGGCGTCCGTCCTTCGGCGTTGCTGTTTGGTTACATTAAAACGACCAGTACAGTTAGACAAGGAATCAGACTGTTACGGACAAGCCAGTCTGACACCTCGGCGCAAGCCAAGACCATCATCCGATCTGGCCTGCAGGGACATTTACGCGAGAATTCTGATAAGCCGCATTAAATTACGTACTTGTGACCAATAAATTTAGCATTTGCCGATATTCCTTACGTATAGTAGACTTCTGTCAGCAAGGAAACCCTGACCAGACACTAGATCAATGCCTCCCCTGGAGCATTAAATATTTGGTAGAGGGGCGCTCACCAATCGTTCCCACGGAACTCCCGCGTCCCGTTGTGCCTTAGGGCTCCATCTCGAGTCCAACTAAACAGTGGGCCACGAGCCCGTTGCCCTGTTAGTTTTGATCGGGAATATACAATGGTAGGGGGACCCTCACGGATCATTCCTACGGAACTCACTCGTGAGGCACAACGGGACGAGTGAGTTCCGTTAGAACGATCAGTGAGCGCCCCCTACCATTGTACAACCCCGATCGAAATCGACAGGGCAACGGGCTCGTGACCCAGTGGTTAGAGGCGTGGACTTCTAACTAACAGGTCGCGAGTTCGAGCCTCGGGTGTTCCACACTTCGGGATTGGGTATGACCGGTAGACGACGGCTAATAAGCCAGAAATGGCCATTCCAGTCTCCTTTTTCTTTGTCGGTAATAACATACTGACTATATCATGCGCCGCTATGCGGTCGCTGGTTGAGCTCGAGAGAGATCCCGTAAGGCACAACGGAACGAGTGAGTCCGTAAGAACGGTCGGTGAGCGCCTCCTACCATTGATAACTTTATCATGAAGCTCATGCATCAACGCGTTTGCTAGCGCTAAAATTGACAGTTTTCCTTCCAAATGGGCGGAATCCTTCGTGTAGTCGTCCGATTTTGTTCCAGTTGACTTCATTAATTCGTCACTGCCTGATCGTGTACGCGGCTTATAGTTTAAAATTACCTGCACACAGGCAGGACTCTGAAGCTTTCATGGTAAGAAGGGCAGACGGTTAAACTAACACTACGCTGCGGTCCAAAAGCATTAGGAAAAACAAGGCAGATTGGGTTGCGGGAAGTTTATGTTAGACAACTGACTTATATTACTGTCAGCTTCTGCCAGAATAAGTTTCATTTACACTGGGTAGGCCTCCGCAGCGTGCGACAAGAATACCTTCCACGCTTCTTTCAGTCCAACGGCATCTGAGGCCGAATCTTCATAGGTGTCCCCAACGTCAGCCGGCTGTTCGCAAAAATTAGCCGGCTCTCAATGACCTTCTCTTTCGGCATCGGATGCACCGAAAAACATATCCATCCGAGTGCTGCCTCCTAATTAGCTGCTCATTTGAATTTTGTATTTCATAATACTGCGGTCGGAAGCAGTTCCCTCTTCTAGCAGTACTCGACTACCTTCCCCGAATTTATGTCGTCCAATATTTCTTTCGTCTTACTTCGAGGATGTGTCGGAGTATAAGCACTTCTTTCGGCTGACGCTTCCAGGGATCTGCAATATTTAGAAAATAACAGCCTATTAAGGACAAACGCTAAAGTGCGAAACCCTTTACATATATAGTAACTATATTTTGACCATCACATGGAATTCGTTCTTCCTGAATTACGTTAATAGAGTTACATAAAACACCGCCCACGTTGGTTTACATATAACTTACTTATTCGTATTTCCGTTTCGCGTGACAGATAGCGCAGACAACATTGCCTTCGGATTCATGCACATGACGTACTCGTACACTAAATTTCTGTGCAGACAGCTCGCTCACTAATGTGATCGCATCTCCATTGGTCGAGCTTGCCTCGGACACCTACCTTGCCGTAAACAATCGATTGGCGGGCACCTGAAATTGGCTTGCGCTACGGCCACAACTAAAAACAAATTTTCAATTTGCTCCGCTTCCTTTGGTTGCCATATGCCAGTGCAGTAAAACGTTTTCGGCTCAAAAAAACAAACTAAACAATTACCTTCATTTAACATGCCTGCTTACTGCCCATTCAAAGGCCCCACCAGTAGAACCCCTATTCCCACCTTTCCCGTAAGACAGGCGCCTGGGACTCGTCATACATTTCTTGGGGGCCTTCCCTATACCATCGTCCCGACAACTTCCAGATGGGCATATTGATTGTTCAGCCCTCATGTTTAGCGTCACAGTCTTATGACGAAATACAGCATCTCACTGGAAATCCGAGATGTGCGCGTCCTTCGCATGTGCAAAACTGCATAAACTGTAGTACTGATGTTACTTTCTTTTACCTGAAGAAAGATGCAGACTAGTTTGATATTTCCAATGCGCCATAACAGTTTGTTGTTGCAAAATACCTATGCCACTGACTATGAGAGACGCCATTTTCGTGTTTTATCAGTTACACATTGTCCTTTCTGTTTTAGACCATTTTAAAACGACAAGCATTCATTCTTCTG